CCAAGCCATGTCTGTTTATAAGAGAATGCTGGAAGCTGAGGTTACACCCGATCTTTGCACCTACAATACTGTTTTGGCAGCATTGGCTCGGGGAGGGATGTGGGAACAGTCTGAGAAAATACTTGCTGAAATGAAGGATGTTGATGAGGGAACATACTGTTCTTTACTTCATGCTTATGCCAATGGCAAGGAGATTGAGCGGATGCTTACTCTTGCAGAAGATATATTCTCTGGTCTGATTGAACCTCATGTTGTGCTCTTGAAGACCCTTGTTTTGGTTAATACTAAAAGTGACCTTCTTATAGAAACAGAGCATGCCTTCTTAGAGTTGAAGAAAAAAGGATTTTCCCCTGACAAATCCACTCTAAATGCCATGATTTCGATTTATGGCAGGAGGCAGATGAGTACCAAGACAAATGAGATCTTGAACTTCATGAATGAAAGTGGGTTAACTCCTAGCTTGACAACCTACAATAGGTTGATGTATATGTATAGACGTTCTGAAAATTTTGAGAAGTCCCAAGAGATTTTAAAGGAAACTTTCAACAAAGGATTGAAACCTGATATAATATCATATAATACTGTCATTTATGCCTATTGTAGAAATGGTTGGATGAAAGAGGCTTTGTGGATATTTTCGAAAATAAGAGATTCTGGCCTTGTTCTAGATGTAATCACCTACAATACCTTTGTTTCAAGTTATGCAGCCGATTCATTGTTTGTGGAGGCTATTGATGTGCTTGGATACATGATCAAGCAAGGATGTAAACCAAACCAGATCACATACAACTCCATTGTAGATGGTTATTGTAAACTCAATCGTTGAGATGAAGCAATCACGTTTGTTAATAATCTTTCCAAGCTTGATCCACACACGTCTAAGAGGGAAAAATGCAGGTTATCAGACCGCATAGCAAAGAAATGGTCATATCATAGACATTCCTCTTCTCCAAAGGGATAGCAGTTCAGTTTGTGTGCTTTTCAAGCGTCAGGCACTTGTCCATCCAGTACAATCAACCTATGTACCAGTGAAATATGAATTGATACCTACTATTGGCCTTTGTTTCTATGCAAATTTTGTGATAAAATAATATTTTTGATAGGTTTTACATGTGCTGTAACATGGCATGACTATTATCAAATTTTATGTTAAGTTCTTCATAATACTTTTGAAGGTAAAAAGGAAAATTCATTTATTTGCTAGATGAGCCGGAGATTTGTGTGAGGGCACTCTCATTTTAGAACACCTTTTTTTTTTTTTCTTCTTCTTCTTCTTCTTCTTTTCAGAAGTAATCCATAAATTTTGATACACATATAATAGCATTCAGAGATATATATATAGAGATATATATATACAGTAACATTCAAAACATTATACAATTCAATAAATGATATATACATGTCTTTGAACAAATAAGTAAGTTACAATCGCAAAATAGAACTAAACGTTCTAGAAATATGTTGGACGGTGTAGTGTTTAATTTTTCACCATAAATATAAACAAACGTCTCTAAATAATATTTCTATTTTATATAATTTTAAACTAAAAAAGATTGTCTTTGGTTGGGATCTGATTGAGAAAGTGTTTCCACTTGAACTTTCTCAGTTATGTCTTGGCCAAATGTTATACATATTGCTAAAAGAAATTGTAGAGATAGATGAGCATTAAGAGTGGATCATTTTGATACCAATATTATTACCTAAAATTTTCCAACAATTGGAATCTAATAGCTAACACTGGATTCTAGCAATTGGAAACTTAATTAATTAATTAAAAAGTGTTATACATAAAATAAATTATAGGACACTTTTTAACATTTTTATTTAAGTTTTAATTTTATTATGATTAAAGGTATTTTAGGTAATTAAGTTCATGTGTTTATAAAAAGTTTTCAGATTTTAGATTCAAGTCAAGAAATCTTTTTTCTAGAATTAATTGACAATTTGAAAAAGAAAAATGAACAATCAAAACTCTAAATTTAATTAGATTTGACTTATAAATGGTAAAATCATGCAAACTCTTAGTAATTAGCCTAGTTAGTAAATACGCGTTTCATATGCGAATTGTACGGCCAGCCATATAATCCGTGTATAAAATGCGTTTTGACGTATGTTATAAAAACTACCGAATTATACGTGTATAATATGAATACCCGAATAATTCGTGTATTATTGTTTAAAAAAAAAAAAAAACCACTGCTCACCCCAAAACGACGTCGTTTTAGTGGGGTTTAATTCAAAATTAAACAAAATCTCTTCTCTTCTTCGGTTCTTCTTCTTCCTCAGCTCTTCGACGGATGACATTTTCAGCTTTTCTTCCTTAGTTCTTTGACGTTTTCAACTTTTCTTCATCTCTTAGGTCTTTATCTCAGGAACTAGCAGAGTCATCAGAGGAAGCTCGGATGGCGAACTGGTTGAGATTTTTAACGGGTTTGTGTTTGTGTTTGGGGGAGAAGAATAAGTTTGAGGAAGGGAAAGTATTGGTAGAAAGAATTGCCTATAAAGCAGATGTCATTGTTGGAGCTCTGAAAGAAGCAGTTGGCCTTGTGGGTGAGACACGGAGAGATGATTTGATTGAAGAAGAGAGAGGGAGGGGGGTTTTTAAGATGGGTCATGGGTGTCAGGGTGTTTTGTGTTTGTGGTGGATTTCACTGTACGTGTCAATCTCAACACTCAACACTGCAGATTGCTTTCTATTGCACAAACCAAAAAATAAATAAATATCCTTTCCACTGGCGGGTTAGAACTTAGACCAAGACGTGGGCCTAGGAATTTGTTAAGGCAAAGAAAAGATTAATGTTAGTTAATTGAATATTTCCCATTTGAAATGTTATATTGATTTTAATTACGTGGTCCATAAAAGTGTTTAAACTAAGATTGATATTGCCGTATTTTTCAAAATGTATTATTGATAATATACCGTATTAAACCCATATATACCCGTACCATATTTTTCCCGTATCTGAATTTTATGGTCAAATTTTTATAAACGTAGTTTTCACCGTTTGCCGTATTATACCCGTAAAATTCCCGTACCCTTTTTTTGTCGTACCCGTATTTACTAACCAGAGTAATTAGTATAACTTCATTGGATGAATATATAAATGGTATAATATTTGATACTGCTCTGTTTAATGATTATATAGAAACGTAATTGAGATAATGTTATTAAAATAGTTCTCACAAGACTTTTTAAAAGAGATTTATTGAATATAATTTTTATTTAAAAAAAAAAAAGACAATCACTAAAGCAATAGATTTAATTATGTCATAAATTTAATTTTTAATTATGTCACAAAACAATTATACAATAGAAAAAATTCAATTATTTATAATAATATTAATGATAATTATATGCAGAAATAATTATTTAAAAAATATATTATGTATGGTGATAATATTAAACATGATAATAGTAATACAATGAATTCATTTAAAGCGGATCGGAGTGGATAAACCCACAAGCCAGATATAACTTAGCCAACCCAGCCCAATATTAGACACAAGAAATGGAGTAGGTTGGGTTGTCCCATAACCCATAATTTGCCATCCCTACATAGGAACATTCTCACAAGCAAACTCAACCTCTAAGACAATCAATTCTAAAGAAACTATTCTAATATAAGAGCATGAATATATATATGTTTCTCTATACACAATCTCTCTTTCTAGCTCCCCACTTGTTATAAAAGGAAATTCCCAAAAGGCGCTTTTTTTTTTTTTTTTTCATATCACAAAACACCAAAGCATTTGACAAATTAAATATCTTATCCTTGTAACATGTGATTGTGATATTTGCAACCTCAACCAAAAACGCTTGGGTTAATTTTCGTCCTTAAGGTTTGAAGTATATTGAACTTACCTCCAAAACCATAGTAACAAACATTTTAGTCTAGTCAAGTGAAAATTTTCAACAAAATTTCTTTAATTCCCCCATTGTCTTATTTACATGTTATTAGAAATGAATAAAATGTAAAAAAAAAAAAGTAAAAAGCATATGAGACACTTATAGAAAAAGTCAATTTCTCATAACAATGTTTAGAAAACTAAACTGGATCGATCAGTCTGACTATCAACCAACGTCCTCTCCGATCTAAATTTCTAATTTTACTGTTCACCCAAATCCCTAATCTTACCGCCGGCGAACGAGGGGCTATCAAGTGCCAAGGTTAGAGGGATTTTTTTAGAGGGAATGCTGGTGGTTCAAAGGGTGGTGTCGAATTGAATTTTGGACACCGAAATCAATCGAAATTTGGTCGAAAAAATCAACCCAATACTTGAGTCACAACCAGCAAACGAGAGGCTACCAAGTTTCGATATTAGAGGGGTTTTGTAAAGTGGAAGACGGTGGTTCAAGTGGTTGTGTCGAATTGAATTTTGGCCACCAAAATCAGTTGGAATTTGGCCAGAAACGTTAAAACCCAATAGATCACAGGTAGGATTGTAAAAAGTCTGGCGAGCCTAAAAAATGAGACTCGAACTCGAGCTCGAGTCAGCTGGCGAGCCAACTCAAACTTGAGCTTGCGAGCCCTAATCAAGCTCAAGCTTGTTAAGGCTGGATCAAACCCAGGTTTGACCGAGCCAATGTCCCCTTTTTTACAGCTTGCTTACAGTCTTCCTGCGTACAACATTTCTTCTTTACATCTAATGTTGAATTTATAGAAAAAATAATAACCATGACAGTTTCAGACTTTACAAAATGCCTATTACTTTACAAAATAAAAAAACAGTTCTAAATATATACAAATAACATTCCAAGATATGAAAATACAATCCACCAATCAAAATCACTATCCACCAGTAGTCTGCAGTAGGCTAATCTGCGACCAAAACCACCATTTCCCCCTAGCTGTATAAAATGTTCAATTTAGTAAGTATTTTTTAATGTAACTATGACAAGAGAAAAATATGTATAATCATAAAACAAAAGCAAAAGAAATCAAACTTTTACCTATGCATGCCTCCTACCACAGCCAAACCATGCACTAAATCCCAGGAACTTACGGGATAGGAAGGTTGATCTCCAACGGTTGATGGTCTTCCTGAAAATGACAAAGACGGAGTAATTGAAGTTTAGTTTGTATAAATATAACGTAATAATTAAATTTAATAAAAACAATATTCAATATAAGTATATAACCTACTTTACATCCTTTCTTCACCCTATTCAAATTCCTGCACCAATCACATCCACATAAGAGCATCTCCACTGTGTCGAGAGACAACAACGATCGATACGTGTCAATAACGTTACTGCCAGCACTGAAAGCAGATTTAGAAGCAACCATAGTGATAGGGATGGCTAATATGTCACAAGTTATGGTAGACAAGATAGGGAACTTTGTTGAATTAGCCTTCCAGCATGTCAAAGCATCAAACGCCTTAGGGTCCCTGACATATTTATGGCATCCCTCTCCTAGGTAATAGTCTAACTCTGATTTTGTTGGCTCAACCGTCTCAACCACATCCAGAAACTGACTAAAATCATCCCAATTATCTGCCCTCTCTGCCGCTACCCTCGACCCCTCACCAATAACCTTAACTCCATCCCATGTAGATGTAGAAGCGCGGGCAGCAGTCAATGCTTTACTGGCATTAACATACTCCTTATATATCACATACAAGGCATCTCGAACAACATCAATATTTGCCTATGCTTCACGCTCAGGATACATCTTAGGGAATGCCCATTGAATCACCCTCATCTTCAGTCTGGGGTCTAAAATAGCAGCCACACCTATCAATAAATTACATTCTCCCAAATATTTGTCAAACTTTTCTTTCATTTTCCAAATCATGGACTGTATAAACTGACCTTCATCCTGACTCTTACTATCCAACATAATTTTGATTGTACAAACTTGTTTTAGAAACAAGTTTGATGTCGGATAATCACTCCTCGATATGAGATTCGATGCACCACTGAACACCTTCAAAATTGAACAAATTTTCTCAACTTTGTCCCAATCCTCCTCCTTGGGACAATAATGATAACTCAAATCCCTCTCCTTCAAACAAGGAAAAACACGTCTAAATTTCATTGCCGTTGTCAACATATCATATGTTGAATTCCACCGTGTTTTGCAATCAAGAATAAGCTTGCGAAATAGCAATCGCTGCTGCTAAACAATCTCTGCGAACACCTTTAGTCTACTCTACGATGAATTGATATACACCACGCTATCACGGATGTCCTCAATGATGTGTCTAATCTGATAAAGACCATCTTGAACAACTAGGTTCAAGATGTGTGTACAACACCTCACATGAAACATCTTGCCCCCACATATGAGCTTCCCCGTAGCTTGGAAATTATCTTTCAACACTTTTACTGCAACATCATTGCTTGAAGCATTATCCACCGAGATTGTGTGGACCTTAGCTTCAATTCTCCACTCCATCAAACACTTGAAATTGCATCAGCAATGACCACACCAGAATGGGGAGGAGGGTAATGAATAAAGTTCAACACCAGTCTATTAAACTTCCAATTATCATCAATCTAATGCCCAGTCAAGACCATGTATTCCATCCTTTGGTTGCCTGAATGTCATAGATCTATGGTTAAACTTATCTTTCTAACACCTTTTAATAGGGTCAACAACTTCTGCCTCTCATTTTCAAACACTCTCATACAATCATTCTTACAAGTATTACGGGAAATCAAAGCCCATTAAGGAATCCTGTACTTCATCATGTTGTTTAACCCCTCTTCCTCCATAATAGAAAACGAATGCTCATGTATTAGCACCCAATGTGCAATAAGCTCCCTTATCTTCATCATATCGAATTGGCCCCGTAGAGCAGGCAGGATAGGGAAATTTATTTGTTGTTGCCTCAAGTTAGCTATTCCTTTTGCACACCTTTTCAAATGTCTATTGAATTATGTAGTACTTCCAGTGGCAGTCATTTTCAGCTTTGTTTTACATGAATGCACTCTGTCTTCCTTGTACCACTAGGGAGAACCACTTCCTAAATTCTGACCACACAGTTGATGTCTTCGCTCTCTTCTTCCTCTGTAGTGGACTGTCATTGTCCTCTACATTTTCGAGGTTACTCACACTTTGCTTCGTACTAGTACCACATGTGCTTGTATAAATGTTACGTCAATCGACTGCTCTTATCGTGACACAATTATCGACGTCATCCAATGTAAGGGTGCTTGAGGAACTATCTCCCAAGGCCATACCTACAATTGAAAAATAAGACACCATTACAGAGCAATCCATGTCACAAATTTCAAATATGATACCAAGCAAACATCCAATGCTACATCCCCAAGTTTAGAATTACTACTCATTACAAAGCAATCCATGTCACAAATTTCAAATATGATACCAAGCAAACATCCAATGCTACACCCCCAAGTTTAGAATTGCTACTCATTACAAAGCAATCCATGTCACAAATTTCAAATATGATACCAAGCAAACATCCATACCAACCATTTGAGGAATCTAGTTAATGAATATGGAATTTGATAAAGCATAAAATGGCAAGCATAAAATGGTAATGCCATTTTAAGCAAGTCCATGAAGTTACAAGAATATGCTTACCAAGAGGTTAGAACCAAGATCAGTTAAAGGATTCATCATACCATGAATCTTATAAAAGTTTCAAAGATCGCTTTTATTTTCATGGGATAATCAGATGAATCCCAAACTGATTCAATGCGAAGTCTCATCAATATAGAGATATAGTGATAGAAGATAGAACACAAAATAGATGAGTACTACCATGTAATTAGCACATGTCCATGGCAATATATATTAGTAAGCCCAAATCAGTTCTGAAGATTTGTCCTATGCTGTCATGCTACATCAGTGAATATATCAATACAACATTACCTCCATTTTTCTAGAAAAATTGCATAATGTTTCATTTGTTTACAGAGGAATCTTACATCTATTGAGAAAGGAATAATTGTTTTGGATTTGGAGTATTTATTCCTGTATTTCATAGTTTAACAACTAATGTTCTAGTTCTATAGTGGCCAATATACACTGGTGGTGACTACTGACCATTGAAACTTGGACTATAGCTTAATAGTTAGGTAAGATAGACCCACATGCAGCTTTTACATTGCTTTAAAACTCAATTGGAGTCCCCATTTCAACAAAATTTGGCCACTGTCTACCAGTGATGTTCACAGAATTTATGGATAAGAGAGCACTTAGAAAGTCATCAAAAAATATTATCTACAATAGAATCTATGTAAACCCTCGAACTGGTAGCAAACATCTTATTCATTACGTGCACAGGGATTCCAAATGTTGCAAAGGCACATAAAGCCACACAGAGTCTAAGATAAAACATCAGATTATTTCATTTATAGTAGCGATTATTTATGATCTTTAACTTCTCACACATCATCATCATCATCTCGTACTTAGGTGCTAAACCCAAAATCTTAGCCCGGACTAGATCACAAATAGCTAAAACAGTATCTTTGCAAGAGCTACAATGCTAACGAAAGACGCGATTATTCCGTTCAAACCATAGGAAATAAATTGTGACTGAAAGGACCAACTGGGAAAGAAGGTGGCTAGAGTCACCTTTGCGTCTAAGATGCAAGCTAGCCCACTGGAGCAAAGGGAGCCAAGAGAGAGTAGGCTATGTAGAGAGCGTCCTGGTAATGACCTCCCGCCAAACATAACTTGAGAAGTCACAGCTGAAAAACAAATGGTCATGGGCCTTCGTAGCTTAACTGCATAAAACACCCAAGGAGGACGTAATGACACCATGAGAGCTAAGCCAATCCATGGTGTGAAGCCGACCAAGAGAAGTGAGCCAGAGAATGAAAGAGTGGCATGGAATATGCCTTGGAAACCACAAGAGATGATGAATCGAGTTCACATCCCATTTGTCTCGCAACACATTCCAGGCTGAATCAGTACAGAAACATCCAAACAGGTGGCCCTCCCACACAAGATGGTCAGGATGACTCGCTGAAGGCTACACTATAATGGAGTCCCAGATATGCTAAAGGTGTGCATTGCCCGAAGGAAAAATCCCACAAACCATCTCCAATAATGTCTGAAACCTGAGCATCCCATGGCAAACCAGTGGAAGTCAAAGTTCTAAAAGGGAGTAAGTCACACAAAGGTCCTTGCGGCAGCCAGTGATCTCACCATAACATGGTGTCCCTACCATCACCAATACAAGTCACAATAAGACCCCGACACCAAACCTTGCTAAGTAAAATCTTCCTCCAAGCCCATAAAGCCCCCAAAAGGACTGACCACGGAGGAGAACCAAACAAGCCTAAGAAGACCATACAGAAGATCTATCATTAAGTAGTCTCCAAACATGTTTAAGAATAGCCACTCTATTCCAATCTTGGATCCTCTTAATCCCCAAACTACCCTCTCTCAATGGGTAGCAAATAGAAGACCATGCAACCTTGGCACCAAAAGGGGGCAAAGAAGTACCCTTGCAAAGAAACAAGACCAAAATACTCTCAATCCATCTAATTGTAGATGCCAGCAAAAGAAACATGGATGACCAATATATCTGTATGGAGAAAAGCACTGACTTGATCAACTGTACTCGGATTACATAGGTCAAAGAAGCTGACGTCTATAGCCTACTCCGAGATAAAATTTGCTCTAATAGAAGCCTACAATCAAAATGTCGAAGACGGGTAGAGATAATAGGAACCCCTAGATATCTAACTGGTAACTAGCCCAACTGGAAACCCATGATAGACTGTAACCCAATCTGATCCTCATCCGTAACTCTAGAAAGAAACAACTGGCTCTTCTCTACATTAGTCACCAACCCAAAAACCTTTGCAAAATAATCCAAGGCTGATTTGATCAGGCTAACAGAGGAAGCATCTTCTTGACAAAACACCATCAAATCATCCACAAAACACAAATTAGTAATAGTTGCTTTCCTACACCTCCAATGATAATGAAAACCAGGGCTTTAAGAGGTTTCCCAAAAGATACCAGCTAACCCCTCCATAGCCAACACAAATAGGTAAGGAGAAAGAGGGTCCCCCTGCTGAACACCTCTGAAGGACCTAAAAAAATCGTCAAGTTCTCCATTCAGGGCAACAAAGAAATACGGTGTAGAGATACATGTCATGATCCACCTTACCATACACTCAAGGAACCCCACAATACACAATCCCAAAAGGATGAAATTCTAGCTCACAATATCAAAAGCTTTCCGAATATCAACTTTAAGGGCACATCAAGGTGAATTACCCCCAAGATGATAATTCCGCAAAAGCTCTTGAGTCAGCAGAATATTATCAGAAATCCTTCGACCTGAGACAAAAGCCGATTGAGAACTCCCAATAACATCCGGAAGCATTACTTTAAACCAATTTACTATCACCTTAGTAATGCACTTGTGTAGTACATTACAACAAGATATCAGTCTAATGTCCGTCATACGACTTGGGCTCTCCACCTTAGGAGCCAAAGCAATCCTGGTGGCATTAACACATCTTGGCATTTCATTAGTAGCAAAAAAAGTCTCACTATGTCTCTGAAATCTGTACCAATAATATCCCATGCCCGCTTAAAAAACAAATAAGTGTATCTATCCAGACCAGGGGCTTTATCATCCGGGATAGAGAATAAAACAATCCTAATCTCATCATCAGTGATAGGAGCAATCAACGGAGAAATCATATCAGGAGAAATGCGCCTAGAAAAATACCTGGGAGCCTCTGTGATCTGAGGTTGAGCAAGGGCAACAAGAAGATCCTGAAAAAAAACCCACCACCAAACACCCTAAACCCTGACTGTCAGTAATATGGGTACCATTCCCATCAGTCAAACTATGGATGCAGTTCTAAACCTGCCTATGGATCAACGACTTATGAAAGAACTTAGTATTCTGATCCCCTAAGTTCAGCCACTGAACACAAGACCGCTGCTTTAAAAAAAAAAAACTCCTCATCGTGACAAAAAGTGAAATATTGGTTGACAAGGTTCCTCTCCCGGGAGATACACTCAGTAGAAAGAGGGTCCCGATCCAAATTTTCTTGGGCTATTGCCCACTAGGGACGGGCCTTAATCACCCT